GTTTAAGATAAGCTGTTGTTCCAGGAAAACAACTTATACAATACCAAAAATATAAATGGAAAGAATAAAATAAAAATACAATGTTAATAAGAAAAGCAAGTATTAATTAGTGTTTTAAGGTTTGCAAAGCACTTTACAAATATTATCTCATTTTATCTTCACAACAACCCTGAAAGAAAGGTAGGTAGATGCTGTAACTATTTTCACTTTACAAATGAGGAAACTGAGGGAGAAAAAAAGTTAAATGACTTGCCCAAAGTCTGCCAGTTAGTATCTGAAACAAAATTTGAATTAAAGTCTTCTTGACTACAGGTGCAGTGCTCCATGTTCTTCACCACCTAGCTGGTTGGTGAATAACAATAATGACCAAAACTGGCCTTAGAAAAGAGTAGTAGTGTGAGACTATGGATATGAAGCATTTACCATTTTATACTTTCAGACATGAATGATGGGTTGGTTGGTTTTGCTGAACTTTTTTCTTCCTTTTAAAATCTTTGTCCTGGGCAGCTAGGTTGCGCAGTGGATAGAGCACCAGCCCTGGAGTCAGAAGTGCCTGAGTTCAAATCCAGCCTCAGAAACATAACACTTACTAGCTGTGTGACCCTAGGCAAGTCACTTAACCCCATTGCCTAGCCCAAAAAAGAAAAAATATATATATATAAAATCTTTGTTCTGAGGGATGACTGTCTGGATAAGGAAGGAGAGAAAAAATAGTTTTGGAAAATCCATCTGATGCAAAAACAAGAGGTATTTATAGAAAAGAGTCTCCATCAAGACCTCTCAGTTACTTTGTCTGTAGACAAAAGGACAGGCTCCTGAAGATCAGGGGAGAAATGACCAAGTTCTGAAAGCTCAATACTAGAAAGTACATAATAGAAGGGATTTTTTTCCTTACTAAAACTGTACCACCACGTACCCAGATGGTTCCTTAGCAAGTCTCTTTTGAAATGAGAGTATGTGAAAGGAAGGATCACCAAAGCACTATTGTCAGTCTTGACAAGTCCTAGCACACGAAAACACAAACATGCTGGAGGGATCACACTATGCCTCGAAGCATTGAAACAGGAGCAGCATTGAAACTCTGCCACCCTAGGAGTAGATCCAATGGAAAATACAAAAAGTCCTACAGAGGGTGCAGAGGCCACCCGCCCCCTGCCCCACCCCAAAACCTACCATGCCTGGTTAGCCGACTGAAAATACTCGTAACAGGAAATCAGGTGGTAGATCCGAGTGGATAAAGAGCTAGACATTACTATGATGAGATGAGCATCCCATGGCCTCAAGCTGATTTTTGATAACACAACACTGGACTCTTCAAACTATAATGCTAGAGAACACTGGGTATACTATCCCATGGAGGTCAGAGACAGAAGAAAAAGTCCCAGGTATGCCAAAATATTTATAACAGCACTTTTTCTTGTAACAAAACTGGGAACAAAGTGGGTATCCATTGATTGGAGGAAAGTTCAAACCAACTGCGGTACATTAATGGAGCAGAAAATTATTACATATTAAGAAACACACATGAAGAATTCAGAAAACCTCGAGAAATCTTATATTAACTTAATAATGATATAAGCAGAACTAACACAACAAATACCCAATGGCCACAATAATACAAAGATTATTGGGTAATAAACACTTAAAAGTCCTCAGACTTCACACCAGTGCAAAGACCAATCTTGATTCCAGAGAATCGATAATGAAACCTACATCCTTCCCCTTAGTAGGAAGAGGTGATAATCTACTGGTACAAAATGAATCATAAATTAAATATGAAGTTTGCAAAGCACTTTTACATATTTGTTTTACATAACTGAACTTTGTTACGAAGGAACCATCTCTTAGAGGGATATTAAGAAGTGAACATGATGTTACTTTTTTAAACATCAATAAAATGCAAAAAATAAAAGAACTAAAAGAGTTAAAACATGTAAAAATTGAACACTATCATTGCTGTCTTCTGAGAAGATGTAAAGAATTCAAAAAAAAACAAACTCTACCAGGAAACCAAATGGGATGAAGGAAAGGACAATGTCCTTTGAGAATTTACAGAAAAATAAAGATGTTCTTATACTGGAAAAGGATGTTTTCTTTCACAAAACTCCCTAAAGATTCTAAATCCATTTTCTCAGCAATCACTGTTTCTTAATCAGTGAACTTTGGTCAGACATTCTTTACCCGATGGCCCAGACAAAATCAACTATTTTTGAAAAACTAAGTGTATCGCCACCTATAATTACAAGGAAAAGTAAAGTGAAGACTTGATGAAGAACTAGGAAGAATGGGGTCAGTGCGATATTGGATAACAGTAATAACCAGGCAGGGAACAAGCAAGTCTTCAACAAGTCAGCCCTTTCCTGTTACAAAGCAATCTGAAATCAACTCTCTTCCTTGAAGTAAGGCATGCACAAAAAAGAACCAAAACTAACACCAACCCTGATGTCCCCGGGTTTACATAAACACCCAGTTTTGGCACTAATTAGCTATGTATCAATTTCTCTAAGCCTTGACTTTTCTCACCTGTAAAATAGGAAATATCTACACTAGTTACTGGTAATGGATTTTTACGCTGATCAAGCTGATTTACAGAATCACAGAACCTTAGAAATGGAAGGGATCTCATAGGTCATTTGGTTGACCAGGGGTGGGGAACCTTCGGCCTCGAGGCCATATATGGCCTTCTAGGTCCTTAGGTATGACCTTTTGACTGAGCCCAAGTTTTACAAAATAAATTCTTTTTATTAAGGGTATTTGTTCAATGAAGTTTGGATTCAAAGGGTCTCACTTGAAGACCTAGAGGGCCACATGTGGTCTCAAGACCTCAGGTTCCCCACCCCTCTAACCACATCCAATTAGTATCACCTCAACAATACACTGGACTAATTGTAAACCAGCCTGTGCTCAAAGCTCACCAGTGAAGAAGAGCCTTCTGCCTTCCAAGGCAGTCCAGTCTACTTTTCTTTTCTTTCTTTTTTTTTTTTGGTGGCAATCAGGGTTAAGTGATTGTCCCAGGGCCATGCTACTAATGAGTGCCTGCAACCAGATTTGAACTCAGGTCCTCCTGACTCTCTCCACTTAGCTACCGCTGTCTACTTTTCAATAAGGCAGACATGGAATTTTTTTCCCCTTATTTCAAACCTAAAATAGCCTCTTTGCAACTTCTACCCAATTTTCCTAGTTCTGTTCTAAATGACCAAACAGAACCAGTCTAATCTATCTTTCAAGAGCCCTTCAAATACTTGAAGGTAGATATCATGTTTCCCTGCCCCCCCCTTATTAAGTATATTCTTTTCTAGGCTGAACACCCCTAGCTCTCTCATCTGATTCTCACATAGCATGAATCCGAGGCCCTTTAATCATCCTGGTTGGCCTTCTCTAGATATTTTACAGCTTATCAATGTCACTCCTAAAATGTAGTTGCCAGAATGGTACAAAATAATCCAGATGTGGCCTGAATAGGGCAGACCTCCCTGGTCCTAAACTTAATGCTTTTCTTTTCACTTTTTTAAATTGTGGAGGCAATGAGGGTTAAGTGACTGGCCCAGGATCACACAACTAGCTAGTGAGTATCTGAGGCCATATTTGAACTCAGGTACTCCTGACTCCAGGGCCAGTGCTCTATCCACTGAGCAACCTAGCTACCCCCACACAAGGTTTTTCTTAATGCATCCTAAGATCCCATTGGCTTTCTTAGTGGCCATATCACATTATTGACTCATATTGAACTAATAATTATAATAACACTTATATGGTGCTTTAAGGTTTGTGATGTACTTTGCATATGTTAGATAATAATAATAGTAATAGTAGCATTTATATAGTGCCTACTGTATATTGGGCACCATGCTAAGCACTTTACAAATATTATCTCATTTGCTCCTCACAACAACCCTGGAAGGTAGGTGCTATTACTATCACCATTTGACAGTTGAGGAAACTGATATCAAAGTTTAAGTGAACTTGCCCTAGGACACACAGACAATAAGTGTCTGAGGTCATATTTGAACTCAGTTCTTCCTGACTCCAGGTCCAGCACTCTACCCAATGAACAGTGTTCTAAAACCCAGATCTTTTTCAAATGAAATGCTATTTAGCCGTGTCTTCCCTATCTTTTACTTGTGCAAGTGATTTTTTTTAATCCAACTGTACGACTTTTAATCTAAATTTAAGCTAGATTAAATGTGACCACCTATCTAGCCTATGAAGATTTTTTAAAATATTGATTCTCTTATGGTATTAGCCATCCCATCCAATTTATGTCTTTTGAAAATTTGGTAAGCGTGTCAATTCTGCCTTTATTCAAATAATTGATTAAAATATTAAGCCACATGGATAGCGCACCAGCCCTGGAGTCAGGAGGACATGAGCTCAAATCCGGCCTCAGACACTTGATACTTACTAGCTGTGTGACCCTGGGCAAGTCACTTAACTCCACTGCCTAGCCAAAAAAAAAATTTAAACGACAAAGAACCCCTGGATCACTTCATGAAAAACCTTCTTCTAAACTGACATCAAACTATTAATGACAACTGTTTGGTTCCAGCTATTCAGCTACTTCTAAATCCTCGTAACTGCACTATCAGCTTGCCCATCTTTCTCAATGTTTTCCACAGGAAAAGCAAGTTTTAGATAAATTATATCTATGCATTCCCCTGATCAACCAGCAGAATCCTAACTAGGGTGCTGTGACTGGGACTTTGCCCTCAGGGCACTAAAATTTTGAAGGTGCTTCCAGCACTTAACATACCTTCAGCAGTTAAAAGTAATTAAATCTCCCTTTCCTCTCTACCCCACCCATACCAGAAATGAAATCAACCCCCTTCCCTCCTCCTCCACCACCACCACCATTAACGGTCTCTCTTTGCTCCAGAGTTTCTGGAACATATGTCTTTGCTCCTCTCCCCACAATTCTGGTCATGCAAAGTCGGTTCAGGACACATTTTGTAATGCTTACCCAGGGTGTATGTGGAGAGAAATGGATAGGTTGTGAAACTTACCCCAGATGCAAAAGAATGCTTGATATGGTTCCTTCTACCCGTTTAATAAATCTGCCAAGAAAAAGAAAATAGGATCAGTTTGATATGACCTACCCTTGATGAAGCCATATGGCTCTGTGATCAAGGCTTTCTTTGCTAGATGTTCTCTAGCCAGAGAATGTTGCAACTAGAATTTTGCTAGTAGGGACACAGATAGCCCAGGCTGCAGACTATTTGTGAAAACGAAATCTCTCAACAAGAGCTGCCTGCTGATGGAGAATGGCAAAAGCATTGTCACTAATCCCACCATTTCTTCCAAATGACAGTCTCAGGTGGAGCAGGGGTAATGAATGACCTCACTATGGCAACTGTCTGGGCACAGACTGGTAGGGTGCCTAGCCCACCTCTCTTTCATCCAGGACATGAAGAAAGTCTCTCTGTGTCCCAATAAGGAAGCTTAGTAATGTCAAACACTTTCATATACCCTCACGCACCAATTTTCACCCTAGGTCCATTCTAGGGGTTCTTACCTTCTTTTGTATCAGGGACCCATTTGGCAATCTAGTGACGCCCTTCTCAGAATAATGTTATTAAATATGTAAAAATAAAATACACAGATTTACGAAAGAAACAAATTACATATTTTTTTAAAGCTTCGCAAAAAAATTTTTTAATAGATTCACAGACTCCAGGTTAAGAATTCCTAGTCTATTCAATTGGTCAGTACATCCAGTTTCTAGAAGTGATAGCTACTTGGTACCATCCAGCATCAAAACAAAGCAAAACAAAAACAAAACATTCTATCCTTGTCCCTAGGAATGAGTCACGTGCCAGGCGGCTGTAGAAAAAGGCAAGAAACAGCCAGGCCTTCATTTCAGCTCAACAAACGCTGTGCCAAGCACTGTGCTAGGTGCTAGAACTACAGAGACAAAAGAGTCAGCCCATGCCCTCAAGGGACTTAACATTCTACTCATATATGACTTGTACAAAAGATAGATTTTAAAAATTAAGACAAAGTAATTTCTGGGATTTCGATGGGGAAGTCAGAAAAGGTTTTCTGTGGGAGGAGGCATGCATGTGGGTCTGAGGAGGGCTGCACAGTTTTATCATTACGTTTCAATATGCAGGAGAAAAGGCATTTGATGTTCTATGTCCTAAAGCCTTGTGGGAAACACAGATCCCTCACATAGAAGATGATAGAATTGGAAGCAAATGAGAAACAGAAAGAACCAAAGACTTTGCAGCACAAGGGCATAACAATATTCTGTGGCATAGGAAGAATATTCTTGGCAGAATCCCAGGCTGAAATACTAGACTGAACTCCTGAAGAGTTTGTGGAACACTTTGAAAGCACCTTTCTAATAATAGGTTCATAGATTTTTGAGTTAGAAACGTTCTCAGAAGCCATTAAGCCCAATACCTTCATTAGTTGAGGAAACTGAAGCCCAGGAAAATTAAGCTGTTTGCTAAAGGTCATGAAGGCATTAAGCAGAGGAGCCAAATTTGAATCCAGATCCTCGGACTAAATCCAGTGCTCTATCCACTGAGCAATACTGCCTTCCCCATGGCCTCAGAGTACAGTTTATCTTATAATGAGAAAAATGTGATATGAAGACTGTCACCACTGCCATTTCTACGTAGGGACCTTAAATACAAGCAACTGAATGCACTGTGCATTTCATTACACGTAGGCCATGGAGTGGTATGGCTCAGCATCAGAGGTTGTTAGGCTTTTGAGTTTCTGTAGATAAGCACAGTGAATTTAATTCAATAAGCAATTATCAATTACCTACTGTGGGCTAGGTACTGGAGATACAAAACAAAAATGATACTATCCCTTCCCTGAAGGAGCTTACCTTCTGTTGGGGGGTGGAGCAGGGTATAGCATATACACAGATAATTAATACAAACAAAATAATAATAATAATAATAACTAATTTATAAAGCATTTACTATATGCCAGGCACTGTGCTACTTTCCAATTATTATCTCATTTGATCCTCACAACACCCCTGGGAGGGAGGTGCTAGTATTATCCCCATTTTACAGATGAGGAAACTAAAACAAACAGAAGTTATACATCTAGTAAGTGTCTGGGGTCAGAGTTGACCTCAGATCTTCCTGATTCCAAGCCCAGTGCCTTAGCCACTGTGCCACCTCAAGATAAATATAAGGCCAGAGTCCCCTTATGATGCTACCAGTACTTACTGGTATGGGTGGTTCCATAGTAGGGGAGACTTGGTCAAAAATTAATGACACAGAATGAATTTAAGCTGGGGGTAGTTTTATATCCATGAACGACTGTCATTTTAGACCACCCTAGCTGAGGATCTCACCAGGATTCTAACTGGTCTTCGTGTATCCAGCCTCTTCCCTCCCAAACTCTCCTCCACTGTCATAAGATTGCTATTTTTACAGCTCAGGTCAGCCTATATCACTCCCTTCTCCCAATAAGTATAGCTCCCTACCCCCAAAGTCTTGTGGGGAGATGTGGTACAAAGTTCTATCCTACCCAAAGGTCTGTCCCCAAACCCTGTGAGGGACTCAATGTGAAAGGCATGGCTCTGTGTTTAGAAATACACCCAAAAAAAAAAAACAAACCCAGACATGAGCAGACAGAGAAGCTTACTTCCATTCAGGCAAGGCTGTGTTATGCCCAGTTAGGATCACTGGCATAAAACCCACTTCTCTGGGGATAGGAAGTTGAAAATAAACTCAGTATATTTCAAACAATAACTCTAGGCTGGATCTGAAATACAGTTTCATCATCATTTGTGGTCCCTCTGCTACATGTCTCTCCCCTCTTCAATCCATCCTACACTCAGCTGCCCAGGGAATGCTTCAGAAGCATAGGTCTGACCATATCACTATCCTACTCAAGAAATCCCAATGACTCCCTCTTATCTCCAGAACCAAATATAGGAAAAATCAGAGATAATCTCAGCATGGGTGGTGGTGGTGAGGAATCAGGAAAGGCATCTTGCAGAAGGTAGGATTTTAGTGGAAAGCCAGGAGGCAGAAAGGGGGAGAAAGAGAATTTCAGGCATGGGGGATAGCCAGTGAAAATGCTCAGCATTGGGAGATGGAGTATCTTGTCCAAGGGAACAGTAAGGAGATCAGTGTCACTAGATTGTAAAATATTTGGAGGGAAACATGGTACAAGAAGACTGGAAAGGCAAGAAGGAGCCAAATTATAAAGGGCTTTAAACGCCAGAGGATTTTATATGTACCAAACAGAGGTACTAGAGTTGATTGAATAGGGGGCTGACGTTGTCAGACATGCACTTTAGGAACACTGATTTGACAGCTGAGTACAGAATGGACTGGAGAGGAGAGAGGCTGGTGGCAAGCAATCAACTAGCCGACTACTGAAATAATCCAGGTGGGAGGTGCTGAGGGTCTGCAACAAGGTAATAGCAGTGTCAGAAGAGGGAAGAGGGCTTATGCAAGAGTTATGATGAAGACGGAACCCACAATACTGGAAAACAAATTGGTTATGAACAGGAAGTTCTAAAAAAAATGGCTATGGATTTTGTCGTTGTAGCGTTCAGTCGTGTACAACTCTTCGTGTAAGAAAACCCCATTTGGAGTTTTCTTGGCAAATACAGTAATTTGCCATTTTCTTCTCCAGTTCATTTTACAGATGAGGAAACTGAGGCAAATACAGTGAAGTGACTTGACCAGGGGCACACAGCTAATGAGTGTCTTAGGCTAGATTTGAACTCAGGAAGATGTATCTTTCCGACTCCAGTCTGTTTAATATTTTGTATGGCATTGTACCCAGAAAACATGACACAAGAAAATGGTGGCTATCTTGGAACCTCAAGGGGGAATGGGTCATATACAGCACTAAAAGCCTCCCAGGGAGGCGCTTCCCCTCTGACAGGAGGATGATGCTGCTGAAATGCAATGAAAGCACTTGTTTTCTAGTGCTGGTGTTTCTTGACTACCACGCAGATGAGCCATCTATCGAGTCATGTGATTTTTTTTTTAACTAGGAAGAGTCTGTTAGTGATGAGCAAATATTTTTGGCAATAAATAGCACATACTGTTCTGTTCTAAATTCTTCAAGCATCGGTCTGCCCTGACCCAACACAGCTAACTCTGTTTTCTTGTCCTGTTTATTTGTCTGTTTCTTAGGCAAGTAGGTAACAAGGTAGATAGCAGGCAGGGCTTAGAGTGAGGAAGGCCTCAATTCAAATAGTACCCTGGAAGCTTTCTAGCTGTGTGCTCCTAAATAAGACATTTAACATCTCTGTGCCTCTGTTTCCTCATTACCTACTACACAGCTTTGTTGTGCAAATGTAGGAGAAGGAAATGAAATAATATACATAAAGCAGTTTGCAAACCCTAAAGTACTATATCAAATATAGAAAAGGTAATATGTCTTGCCCGGATTCTTGCCTTTATTCCAGTCCAGACTACACAATTAACTCTTCCAGAATTTCTCTCCCATGACCCAGAAACCTTCATCCTGAAGCCTCAGGCCAGCCCTGGCATTCACAGATTGGTGGTTCTTCTCAGAACCTCCATTTTAAGGAGAGTGCCCAGGCCAACCATGTCTTCCTTCCTGTACAGACTGCATTCCTCAATCTCCTGGAATTTCTCTATACTGTCCACACTTTGCCAGATACCTTCATCCCTTCTTCTCTTTCTCACCTCATCCCCTTTTCAGCTTCTTTTTATATGTCTTCCCTCGTTAGAATGCAAGCTCCTTGAGGGCAAGGACTCTCTGTTTGTATTTATATCCAATCTAATAAACATTTATTAAGTGACTACATCATGCCAGGCACTGTCCTATGCGCAGAGGATATAGTTGATAAAAAGATAGCCAGTCTCTTCCCTCAAGGAGCTTCTACTCTAAACGGGGGGGGGGGGGAGCACACAAAAAGAGGCAGGAAAGGAGGTAGAACAAGACACCAGGGGCTAGGGGGAGGAGGGAACCTCTTGTTGAAACCAGGCAAGGCAGCAGATGCAAAGTGGAGTGGATATTCCCAGCACTTAGCACAGTGACTGGCACTTAGTAAATACTTAATAAATGCATGTCTTGATTAAACAGAGGTAGAAAAAAC